TTGCTCTCGGAAGCCCATAAGAAGAGAGAGGCAGGCCTGCCAGCTGCGGGGTTTGGGGGCGGGGCCCGTGGGTCTCTAACGTCGCCTTCGGAAGCCCATAGAAAAAGCTTTCTGGGCCAAGCTGCGGCCTGCAGGAACGTTTGCGGGCGGGGCCGGTGGGCGAAGAGAAGGGGCAGGCTTCGGACAGGCCACAGAGAGGCCGCGGCAGGCCTGCCGGCTGCCGAGGAGGGTTTGAGGGCGGGGCCCGTGGGTGTCTAACGTCGCCTTCGGAAGCCCAGAGAAAAAGCTTTCTGAGCCAAGCTGCGGCCTTTGTTTGGCCAGTGCAGGAGTGATGCCGACGCAGTAGGGCTTTGAAGGCGGGGGTGGCTGCTTAACGTGGCATGCTGGGGCTTTCGTTTGCACTGCCACCCGTTCCACCCTCCGGTGTCCCTGGCGCCGCCCCGCTTAGGCAAGGGCTAAGCAGGGGTCGGCGGATATAGCTATTCCACAGTTTTTCATGTATGCAAACGACCAGTCAGTGACAGGACCTGGGTTTGGACGGTTTCGGGTGCTCAGATGTCGTCTTGAGGAGGTTGCCATCCCGCCAGGATGCCCAGTTGCTGGAGCTCGAGCGCCACAAGCTCCTCCACGGCCGCCACTGGGAGAGCACGGAGAAAGCAGAAAGAAAGCAGAAAGAGTTGAGCTGCAACATGTCGCCTTGGTTCTTCAAAGTGACCTGTGATCTCCCAGTTTGAGGTCACGAACAGGCCTGTAGGTTACTTAGGCACTCCAAAGAGGTCACTTTGAAGCTGGGCTATTTATTTTTACCTTATGTTTTTTGGAAGCCACGGACAGGACCGACAGGACCCCGGTGGTTGAGGCCAAGACAAACAATTTATTTGGCAGACCTGCACAGGTCCTGGCAAGATAGAGGACCACCATGCGATGAGGAAAGTGAATAGGAGTGTTTCTCATGGGTATGTGTTTTTTCAGGAAGACATGTATTTTTTTGTTTCTTGCTTGGTCCCTGAGCTCATGCAGGTTCCATCACGTCAGGCATTGCAGGTTTTGGGCCTGGCAGGAATGCAAGATCTACCGGTGCGCGCGTGGAGAAGTTGATCGTGAAGTCTCCCTTGATGCGCCTGAGGTTCTCGAGGGGAAGACCCGCATTTGTGCTGCAGCTCATCTGAATGAGTTTGGCTAATCATAACATCATGTAGCATATTATATAATATTATATATATAGTATATTGAATTGTATAAATAAGTAAAAAAACAATATACGGCTGATGACTCTGTTAAGAAAGACGCTTTTTTTAGAGTAGACTATAGATTATTTCTTAGCTATAACCTTTTAATTAAGAAATGTTGCTAGCAGGTAGACTCTAAATAAGGTTTCTTATTCGCTCTCAGCCGTCCCTCGAGCTCTAAATCGCTCAACCGCATCGCTATGCGCATGGTCTTTGACTTCTTCGACCCATATCCCATCGAGTGCCTGGGATGGATTAAGTGGGGCAATGACATCCAGATCTTTGTTTTGTTTCATGGATTCAAGGGGGGCTTGAATGGATTGGGCTACGTACTCTAGTTTCCATCTAGAAATTGTAGCCAGGGATGGAAGTTCCGAACCGCCTGGCATTCGCAAAGCACGGGGTGGTACCGTAAATCCTTTCCATCCTCCTCTGGGCCAGATGAGACTTGGTGATCGCTGTGCTCCGTTCCGTGTCACAGACGAAGTTCCTTCTTGGGGAGAAGCAGGTGCCTCTGGGCCATTGGATTTCATCATCATACGTATCCTGTTTGTGAAGAACACCCTTGGAATTCCTGACGTTTTCACCCTCGCTTTTCAGGATACATCATGATTACAAACAAACACCATGGACTTCCAGGGTGCACGTGGATTGAGATCTCCATGGATAGATTGATGAGACCAGATATGTTGATGATCTAAGTTGTAAGTTAAGAAGCTGGCGTAAATAGTTTCTTATTACAGCATGAGACCACTGCTGTTCAGGGTTCGAGCACTGATTGTGACACTTGCTATCCTCAAACATTGTTTGTCGAGATTTTGCCATGTATGTGACCATATGCTGCAATCCAAGGAGGTCCTCAATGAAACATGATGAAAGCAAGAAACACCAATCCATCGAATGTAGGATTCCCTGTGGCCACTGCGTCCTTGCTAAGCAATGGCTCCCAACCAGAGCCGCTTGAAAAGACTCACCCGCACAATCCCTCTGTGGGAGGTGGTCAGGCTTTGCTCGCTGCCTCCTGAACTGGTGCTTTGCTTGTTGCTGCGTGGGCTACACGACAAGCACTTCGAGAAGGCTTCAAAAAGTGAAGCCGATTGGAGCAGCGCCAGCCGTCGTGAGCGATCCTACAAGAAGCTGCTGGAAGACTTTGGATGCAGCCCGGACGTGCTTGACAAGTCTTTCAATGTGGTCTGGCAGAAAGTTGGCAGCGCCAATTCTGCTGGCAACAGGGTCACCAAGAAAGCGACGATGGCTGATGTTTTGGGCACAACCTTGAATTGGGAGAGCACTGATCGCACGACGTTGATTAACAATGACATCCTGGCCCGATTACATCATATTACATCTACGAACTGGAGCGCGACGTGAAGGTTTGGTCACCTTGTTTTGATTTTCGAGTCGAGCGTTCAGTGCCACTGTGCGGGACCAGCTACCTCAGGACGATGCCATGGCTTTAGGACAGTTCCGCCACAAAGTTCAAGACGCTTTGGATTCCGTGCCGCGCGTCTCGGAGCTTCTCACTTCCAGCTTCTGCGCCAGCGAGAAAACCGTGTGGCCAAGATGGAGCCTGGTGAGGCCAAGGAGTGGTTCGAGGGTGTGGTAAGGAGGTGGCACAGGCTTTGACCAGGCAGAAAAAGGGACAGACGGCTTGAGATCAAGTTGCGGCGCTGATGAGTTCTTTCGGGTTTCTTACAGCCAAGAACATCCAAGCGGCGTCAAGCGGCGCTCATTCACCACGCCATGTGCTCTGACAGGCTGGTGATCTGTGGGCCTGGTGCCACCAAGCTGGTCAACCAATTGCGTGGGCAGCATCGGGCGTGGTCGCCGACAGGCATGTCTATGCCTCTCCTTCTGCAAGTCCACGAAAACTTGCGGATCGCAAGGAGGCGGCTCCAAAAGCTCGCGAAGAAGTCGCTGACTGCCACATTCGGTGAGGCGCCGGCGCTTGAACAGGAACTCCAGGCGCTCATCCTTGATGACAAAGTGTTTCACTTATCAGCTTCACAGTTCCATTTCTGTGAACTGAATAAACAGTTGAGATCGATCTTCTCCAAGAAGGATGCCGAGACGGAGGACGCCTCCGAAGAGCAAGAGGATAATCACTGCTCGGACACAGAATCAGAAGGAGCTGCTCCTGACAAGAAACGGAGAAAATGAAGGGCTGCGTGTGGACTGGGCTTGTCGGTGATTGTAATCTTTTGATGCTTCTGGATGAAACTGCCACGCAGTGCAATGCGCTGACGGTGTCATGGCATGTTGGGGCCATTGTACTTCCGGGGTCGAGACCGTTGATGATCATTTTCCCTTGGGTTTCCAGGGAAGACAGATTGTTAGACTACTCTGGGGTGATTCATTGATTGACTACTCTGGACTTGCTGTGTGGCGGCGGTGTCCGGGTGGTGAGTTACACCTGTGTGCTCTGTGCGCTTTACCGAAGTGGGCCAGTCTGATTCCGGGCCTTCATTAGCCTGTAGACTCTGTACGTACCTCACTTACAGACCCCATGAATGACGCGGCGCAAGGGCTGCATTGTTTGACCTGTGCAGCCCCAAGCTTCAACGCCACTGGAGGCCCGTGTGGGCCATCGATCGGGTTGGAGCCTGTGTTCGGCTGATGTCTCTGACAGGTTCAGACCAGTTTCAGACCCATGTCAATGCTTTCATAGATAGCTGAAATCCCGATGCTCTTTGTCTCGCATTGAACTTCAGATCACTGGGCATCTGAATCCTCTTTCAACCTCAAGTTCCGAACCGTCAGCGCAAGACGCATGTGGAGCTGCAAAAGATGGTCATCGGAAGTTATTGGAGAACATGGAGTGGATGCATGAAGAGAGTTTTTAATTAGGTACCACTACGGCGGCAATTAAGTACCATTGGATGCATCGAATTACGACCGTAATGGTACCTACTTAAAAGCGAGCCTTCATTATCCTGTAGATTCTGTACGTGTCTCACTTACAGACCCCACATGGAATGACGCGGCACAAGGGCCGCATTGCTTGACCTGCGCAGGTGTTTATTTTCTGCTGGCCGTCTCCACGGCCTTCCCAAGCTTCAACGCCACTGGAGGCCTGTGTGGGTCATCGATCGATCGGGTTGGAGCCTGTGTTCGGCTGATGTCTCTGACAGGTTTCAGACCAGTTTCAGACCCATGTCAATGCTTTCACAGATATTCATAGATAGCCGAATGTATATTATATTACGTAAGTTGAAGAAGCCTATACGTACGTACATTGCAGTGTCTTGGATCATCATTTCCTGTTTGTGAAGAATACCCTTAAATTTCCGGGGCGCAGGAGGATAGACATGCCGTTTCCACCCTCGCTTTTCAGGGGACACAGAAAGCGGGAGTCATAATCAACAGCATTTATCTGGAGCCATTCATATCAACTGTACAGCCCTTGGAGTTCCAGGGCAAGCGCCGAGTTATCCAAGCTGCCGAGAGGGCCTGCAAAGCCGCTGCCAATTGTTGTGACTCGCGCAATTCGCACGATGTTGCGCCCGTCTGCCATGTGCATTCGTCCCAAATTTGGGCCATCTGCCACCTGTCGAACATTTAAGTGTTTCCCATGCATAGGTGTTGCCAGCGTGCGCTGCAGGTACCGCGGTCCTTCGTCTTGACTATGTGGCTTTAGGTGCCCGCTATCTGGAAGCAAGACTAAGTGTGGTCGATTTTTGCACCCTTGGACCTCCGGGGCGCGCGCAAATTCTAAGGTCTTTGTTTCCCGAATCATTTCAAGAAATAGCATCTTGCAGTGGTGTTGGAGGATGCGCCGTAATGATCAGTGATGGCCTTTGACCGTTAATGCAGTCAATCGTGCAGTCTTGGCTTCAGGTTAACGCCATCCTTGGCAGCATGAGGGGACTGCTGTCTGTACATGGTGCTTGGTGTATCCCACATCCAACATGCATGCTGCATCGATTGGCGATAGAAAAGAAAACCCTTGTCAGGCCCTAGATCGCAGTTCACGCACCCCCATGCATGGTGACAATGCTAGTTTGTGTGGGTGAGAATTTCCAGGGTAGGGCGCCCATGGCTTCACTATGAACAAGCCTGCAGCACGCAGTGGTTGGAAAAGCGCGCTCAAACGAGGCATAGAATGCGGATTGATTCCAAAGGCCAAAAAGCCGTTCCAAATTTTCCTAGCGCGGCAGAAGCTGCAGGTGGGACCTGCGGCAAAGATTTGGAAGGGAATGAGCAAGGAAGAGAAACTTCCGTACGCCAGCGCGAACGTGCGCGAGCAGCTGGATTGCGCATTCGCCGTAGACGCGCGCAGGGCAGACCGGATTTGCCAGAGCCGGAGAAAGGAAAATTCCATGGCATTTTGATGGGACTTGACCAGCAATACGTGGTTGGAAAGTTGCGCGGCTCCGGGACATGGTGTAGTTTACAAGGCGACCCACCGCAAAACTGGTGTCATTGCAGCAGTCAAGGTAGAGCCTCGTTGTCACACAATCCACACTGAGCTCGCCTGCTTGGCAACTCTCAGGGGCCATCCAGCCTTCGTTCAGGTAGAGGACAGTCTCATTGATTGGCAAGGGATGAGTTGGATGGTCATGCCGATGCTGAGGAGTAGTCTGATAGATACAACGGATACCTGTTGCTCCAGAGGCCCAGATGTCAATTTGCCTACAGAGCCTTAGTGGTTTGAGCTATACATGCATGGCAAATCTTTGGTTCATTATGATATTAAGCAAAGCAACATCATGTTTTGCGAGGACACTCGCAAAGAGCACATCATTGATTTTGGTCTTTGTATGAAAATACCAGCGCAAGAGTGCTCTGCATGCTGTACGTGCAATTATCGCCCGCCGGAGCTATTTGTTGCTAACTCCAAGCTTCGTGGCCGTCGGCTACAGCCAGCTTCTGACAGCTGGGCGATTGGCTTCACATTGCTGGAGTGTTTTTGGGAACCTTTTTTTTGGTGGGAACAATGAAGGGCACGTGGCCAACGCAATGTTGAACTTCACCAATGCGCACCACGTCAGTGGATCCAAAGAGCGGGCACACTGGGAACTAGCAATGGAAAAAGTGCCAGCAAACGCAGAGAACTGTGCGCCAACTGACCATGACGAATCCGAGCCACCGACGAGATTGCCAAATCAGGGCCTCTGAAGAAGTTTGTTTCTCCCCCGAGGGCTGACCATAATGTGGGGCCCCCATGCAAGGTATCAGTGAGATTGTGGAAGAATTAGGTTTTAACGTGGGCGCAAAATACCAATCGAAAAAGAATGTGTGGAACGCGGCTACATGGAAAGCCTATGAAACAGAGATACGAATCACCGAGTCGCCAAGTTGAAGTTAAATAACTTCCGCAACTCCTGTTCTAATGTTTTCAAGTTCATGTTAACCTGTCAGGGCCCCACATTGCACCATGAAAAAGACTTGCAGGCTTCTGCTTCGCGGCAAAAAGGGTTGCTATTTTATGACTCGACATTGCGCCTCTGACATGATATAAGAGCTTCGGAGTAAGTGTATACGGATGCAGTTCCTTTTGAAGTCAAAGGCTGACGGAGTTCCACGGCTTCTACAATGTCTTCGGTCAAACTGAGATTGTTCTTTTAGTCTAACTCAACCAATTGGAGACCATCGGATGTGAGTGATGCAGCTCTTGTTACTATTACTCTGCAGTGTTCATAATGTTTCGTTGCTTTTTCAATTTCATGCCTTGGAAAACCGGGGTTGACGAAGTAAAGACTTCCACTCTCCTAGAGTTTCTCGTCTTTGCAGGCGCTACGCAGCATACAGCTCGCCATCCGTCACTGCCCTCACGATCTTGAACGTCGCCGGAGGTACGCGTCGACCATTGGGGTTTTAACCTGTATTCAGATGAGGGTCTGTGAGGTTTCAGACCAGTTTCAGACCCCTCATTATCAAGGATCTAATTTTCAAAACTGCCGGCTATCCTGCCGGTGGGTTCGAGGGAGGGCGAATGGTAGCATTCTGTGGGTGTCTGAAGGGTTCAGCCTCATGTCAGGATTGGTTTCCACTTGATTTCAAACAGGTCTCAAAGCGCTTCCGCAAGTGCTGCTAGCACTGGCTTTGGATTTTCAGGGCAATAGTAGATTTCCGGGAGAACAAAAGTGTCTGGGCTCAAGACGTCAAGGAACGACGCATTTCAAAGTCCACGGTGCCCCATTGGGAGCCCCATGTGCAGTATCATGCTGCTGTCCCGGGAGGTTGCGATATACACCCTCTCACATGGAACCCATGCAGCTCATTGCAAAATGGCTCCTATGACTTTAGTTCTTGGAGGACGTCGAAGGGGCTGCGGGGAAGTGCTACACGGCCCTGTTCCATCGATCTGGATATACTTCTTGTAAGTACAACCTCATTGGAGCTGAGCCGTCTGTCATATCCGGATTGCGCCTACGTAGCACAACTTCGTGATTTCATTGTAGACACTATATTTGCTCGGCTCCAAGACAGCATGCAAACATGCAAACCCACGCACAGCAAACATGCAAACCTACGCACAGCTGCCAAGCTGAGGTCGGACGGCCGCTCTTGCATTGACATGCTGCTCTTCAAGCACCAGCGCCATCCAGAGTGGATTGTCGTCAAGCAGAAGAGGATCGCGCAGGTGACCTTTGATTTGAAAGCCGTTGATGGTGCTTCGGTGACAGCGACCTGCAAGGTAGAGCGCAAGTTCGCTGAGGCTGACGACGGGGTCACGAAGGGTCCGATTCTCATCAATGACTTGCAGTATGCGGATACCGTTGACTTTTTGCTTGAGGGATTGACGTGGCAAGATGAGAGGGATGGGCACATGGACAGAGAAGGAGTTGACATGGTCAGTGGCAAAGTGGATCTTCGAGGATGGCAGTCGGGTACACGACCAGAAGGACCGTGTCCTCGCCTCGTTCCTGCCCATTATCGTAGACAGGCAGGACCCCGCACAGCCTGCGCGCAGGCGCTGGCGGCTAAGTTGAGGATTATTTGAAGCGTCATCTGGGTTCAGTTTGCATAGTCGAGCATTTTGCGAAATGCCCAAGGGCTTTGTCGCCTGTAGCAGGCAAATCAACAAGCGATAACTGGATAGTTGAAAAATAAGTGGCTGGATCAACCATGGGATCACAACGCGTCTGCCTCCCGTGTATTTTCCAGTCATCCCCATTCCCGCCCGCCAGCAAGCAAGCGCTTCTGAAGGTTTCAGACCAGTTTTCGCCCACCGTTACATTGCGTTCTTTTCTGGTATACTGGTAGAATGAACCACGAATGCCACGCGATGGGTTCTTTTTTCACCCCTGTACCTCCGGGGTGTTGGATAGTCCCCGGGCTCTTGCAGGTGAGAGCTTTGTTGCGTCTTGCGAGTCGTGCAAGTGTGGCTGGCGAAAGATTCGGGAGAGAGGTTGGAACTTTCCTTTTTCCGAAGTTTTTGGAAGGTTGTGGCCCATCGATTGAGCTGTTGGCTCCTAGCCATGGGTATAAAACATCGTAATTTTTAAGATGTGGACCAGCCTCTCTTTTCCCGTTATCTCTAGTCTAGTCCCTCCCACCACCACCCACCAGGTGACAATAGGATGCTCAGTTTGGGCTTCTGACGGGTTTCCGACCATTGCATTACGTTCTTTTGTCGTATAGTGGCAGGTTGGAACTGTCTTTTTTTCCGAAGTTTTTGGAAGGTTCTGGCCCATCGATTGAGCTGTTGGCTCCTAGCCACGGCCCGGTATAAAAACATCGTAATTTTTAAGATGTGGACCAGCGCCCTCTCTTTTCCCGCTATCTCCAGTCCCTCCCACCACCACCCAGCAGGTGACAATAGGATGCTCAGTTTGGGTTTCAGACCATTGCATTACGTTCTTTTCTGGTATAAGTGGCAGAATGACCCACCTGTGAAACATGGTCGTTCACCTATGAGGCATGGTCGTGTGGGTCGTGGAAGAGTTGGATAGAATGAAGTGGCATGACTTCATGATTCCAACTTGCAAGTGCACTTCATTGTGTTTCGTGCGCTCTCCTGGCCATGCGAAGACCAAGAAGAGCAGCGCGCGCTCTTTCTTGTTTTTCCTCTCTCTCTCTCTCTTTCTTTCTCTTTGTGGCAGGGCCCTTCAAATTAGGACTTAATACGTATTTAAAAACAACTTTTTTTTACAAAAATAGAATCTAGAAATAGCTTATTTTTCCCGAAAATAGAGTCTACTTAGTTTAAGAAAATTTCTTAACACAGATAGAAGCCGTATATATATATATATATAATGTAATTTTGAAAAACTGTTTGTGAGTGGAACATGAGGTCCGTTACAACCTGAAGTCGAAAATTATCCAGTTTCTCCCGTTTCCCTTGGCCCCGTGAGAGAAAGGGCCGCAAGAAGTCCTTTCCTGCCTCAGGTCCTTCACGTCGGACATGTCCCTTGGAACACCAATCAAGAAGTGAAAAAGAACTCTGTGGTATATTCGTTGGGCAAAACAGAAACGCGTCGCACCTCGTGGGGAGCGCCCGCCAGGAACTCAATGGGCATCCCGGATTGCTGCATGGTGGCTTTACATCTGCAATCTTAGACGATTTCACAGGCTTAGCTACTTGGAGAATTCAAGGTTGTAGAATGGTGGATGGGCCACTGAACAGGCGTGGGGGGTTGGGTCACAGTTTGTTGTTGGGTCGTTTTTGTGGGGGTCCACACGACCAGTCAGTCTGCTGGTTTTCTCTGAGGATGGAGAAAGACGCTCAGGAGAGTCCGGCCTTTGCTCTTCCTGCTTTCAGCTCTGCAGAGTTTTCAGATTCAGAGTTTGCAAGCGAAAGAGAACCAGAGCGCGCTTGGCACGGAACAGACTGCAGGACCTTGGCCAAGATGCCAAGATCTTCACGGCGCATTTGGATTTGAGCTATCGACGTCCTTTGCCCGCCAACTCAGAATACCTGGTGGAGGTGTGTGTCGATCGGGTCGAGCGGCAAAAGAGTCTTGGAATGCCGAGATGTATATAAGAGAGAGAGAGAGAGAGTGAGGAAGCTGCAACAAGAATCAACAAGAGGCACCCCCGAAACTCTACATAAAGATCCATTTTCAGGCATGTTGCAATCTTGCCAAGCCACGAATCACTTTGGTCGCTTTGGTACGACTTCAGGAAGGTCTTCTTAACTGCGGCGATCTATGACCGATCTGGACACGCATGTGTCAAAGCCCGGGTGCTTTATATTGTGAAGAAAGCTGCGCCGAAGCCTTGAAGCCCACTGGGGGTCCGAGCGACCGGCCCGTGGCGGCATGAGCGCCGGGCACCGCGGAGCGAGCGGGCGGAGGTGCCGACGTGGTCGGAACGATGACGTGGTTTGTCCAGCAGCGCGTGGGACGATCCCCCGACGCCGCGACCGGAAGGCACGCGGAGACACCCGGGTCGAGGAGAAGACAAGCAAAAAGAACGTGCGCCGGTCAATGGGTGGACGTTGAGGGTGCGCGGGGAGTGGTTAACTCTGTGGTGCGCCATGTCACCGATGCATCCAGAATATGCAGCTCGAGTGATGCCGTGCCAGGCCCTACGAAAGCTCCACGGCAGAGAAGCTGGCACAATTGCACTCCCTTTTTGATTTTAATGTTGTAAATGCTCTGAATGCTAGAGCATAGAAAAATCATGGTTGAATACTAGTTTTTGTCATCACAAAGGTTTTGACATGTTTTGACCAGATAATTATTGTCCTTGACTGCCAGGATATAGCAATGCTTGGCACCTAGTTTGTTTGCTGTTTTGCTTTGTAGCCGAATCTTTGCTTGCCCATGGCAATTCTATGAAAAGAATGGAGTATGTACCTGGATCTTCCAACGTGGCTGGTTTTAGATTAAGTACCGCAGACATTACCGCAGACGCCGAGGCTAACGGATTACATCGGCCCGAGATGGTGCGCTGGGGGTGTTTTTGTGGTTCCAAGAGAAGGGAAGGGCCACCCACAGGTCATGAAATTATTGTAAATCATCCCCCTGGAAGGCTCCTTTAAAAAGATATGTTTAGAATCAAAGATCCATATAGAACTAACAAACACATCACCTTAAATCCATAAATCCATAGAGCATTTTGAGATGGGATCTAGAACGTCTAGACCCAGATTGGGTGTCTGTGGTGCCAAATTGTGCAGTCTGAAGCTACAGGTTTGGATGCTTGGAAAGGCAGACTCTTACCTACCCCAGTCAGTGGATAACCTTTAACCTTTTTGGGGGGATTGGTGGCGCCCCACGAAGCAAGAACAGGGGGACGCTGAAGAGGTCGCTCGTTTTGATTTCTTTCTTACTGTGGAAGTGGTCCCTCTAGCTTCCTCCATCAATCAGTTATTTTCAGGTTCCACGCGGGTCCTGGAACCAGAGCGTAACTGGAAGATCTGAGGGAAGCTTGAAGACTCCTTCCTCGGCTTGCCCAACTGGAGCGGTGCGGGAGACGCAACATCCTGACGGAGACCGGTCGGGGGACGCGGGAGGGATGCGCTGGACGCGGATGTTTTCGAAGTCAACATCCTCCAAGGCCGAGCCTTCTTTCCTAGCCGTTGACGGGTGAGCTCGCAGCCCAGGTACCGCAGTCCAGAGCAGCTTTTGGGAGCCAGGCAAGCCTCGCCGCCTCCAGCGCGAGCCTCCGCGAGCCACTGGTTTTTGGTGGGTGGGACATCCGGTGCCAGATGGGTGGCCATGTCCATCCCCTAAGTATTCCAACAGCAACATCGTTGACATGATTCGTTGGCAAGTGCTCCCTTTTCAGATAAGGGAACATCTGCAAGTGCTCCCTGCTTGGAAGAACCGTTTCCCCAATCCCAAGCACTTGTTTGCATAACGGATCCATACCAGAACTGTTTCTGGTTGGGACTGGGGAAACCCAGGAAGACCAAACAGTGAGAAGTCTGTGGTTAGAGGGTTAGAGATCAAGAGCTGACATGACCTGATCGTCGTCAGGGATGATGGAACTCAGATGGACTGAGATCAGATTTCCAGACGGACTGAGTCTTCGAACTAAAAATGCAAATTGTTTGCCTTTTTTTAATCTAGAATACCTACCCAAAGGCAATCAAAGGCAGACATGTTGCATAGTTGGAAGATCCAGATAATATACAGATTATACATCTCTGAGTACATCTTCTCTTCAAACCCGTGGAAATCGACATCCCCAGCCACCCTTTTGCGCTACATGTCTTCCTTCGACAGACGCGCCATGTCTGCGTCTCGGTGGGGAAGGGGGAAGGGGAAGGGGAAGGGTTCCTAACCCGCCCCGGTGGCGAGATACTATTTCACGGCGGTGGATCTTTGGGCCTGGGGTTGCATCGTGGCAGAGATGCACTTGGGGGACCGGCTCGGGCGGGAGGGCGGGCGGAGTCATGGAGGGGGCACGACGGTTCGCGGGGGTCATTCGACCGAGACTTGGCGCGTTGGGCAGATGACTAGGCAAGGCATTTGAGAATAGGATGAGAATGGAAAACAAGAAGCTACTAGTAGCTAGAAGCTACTAGGTGGAGGCCATCGCTGTCAGGTTGGAGGCCATGGTCATAGTAAGAAGAAGCTAGTAGCTAGAAGCTACTAGGTGCTGCTGGTTGCTTCAAGACATGTGGTCGCCTCTCCGAGGATCCATGACTTGTACTTGTAGCATCCAATACCAGCTCCCTAGAAGTTGAAAACACTATTATTTTTGCTCAGTGAAGAGAAGGATTTCTTGCCTCTCAGGTACGAAGTTGCCAGACTATTCTTTTCATAGTCCTTGACTCTCAAGGATCTATCCAACAATCAGAAACCTTCGTCTTCCTTTCAAGACCACGAATGTCTTGCCCAGTGCAAAAGGACCCGACTCGCCAACTCCGGCCTTCAACGAAGACGGCTCCGCCTGACGTCTCCGCCCGACTACTCCAGAAACCGATCTTGAAGGGCTCCTCAACCATCGACATGATGCACAATATCGCTGCTTGGACTCAAAAAGGTCGAAGCTCCTGTTGACCGAGACATGAAGCGAAGTGAACAGGAAGGAGTGACAAGCACTCGTGCCTTTGGGCACCAGGCTGTTTCCTTTGTTTGGGCTGGGGGGGCTGTGTATATAGATTTAGATAGATTTAGCGCCCGTGGGCATCCTGCTCACTGGCCTTTCAAAATCACCGGACCTGATCGGGGGAAGGCCAATTCGGGTCGCATGTATGGCAATGTATGGCATACAGTATTTAGGTAAATGAACCACCTGAGGTGGCTTTTTTCAGTGGTCAATGTCATACATACATGGAGTGTCTGGGTTTTGGTCCCACAGCGGTTGGTTTGGTCCAAAATCTCGGTAGCACGGTGCTATCTCCGAGGTTGAGTTGCTTGGGACGCCGTTGGAGGCGAGGTTGTGAAGCAGTTCCATAGGTGCAGTTCCATGCGAGGCAGATGCGATTGATGACGCCAGGCGGATGTCGACGCCATGCAGGCGGATGATCTGCTGCGATCGACGCCAGAGCTGCGATCGACTGGCCGAAGCCAGGAAATGACCCCATGTCTAGCCTCACAACATTTGTTGCACTGAAAAGATGTGCGACTGGACATCTGAAAACACAAACTCACCATCACCTCCAAGCTCGCTCACTGAAACCTTTGGCCAAAAGACGTAGACGCATGCAGACGCTATGTGAGAGATCACTCTTGGCCAAAACGCCCCTTCGACACGTTCATCGGACTCGGACGACACGTTCCCTTCACAACCACCGGGCGAACGGGCGTGGCGCGCGCGCCTGTTGGTTCCAGCTGTTCCAGACCAAGTCCCATCGCTGCCTGCTACGCCCCTGTGAGGCACCCTATGGGCACATGTCCTTGGGCCAGTTGCCCATCTCCTTGCCGGGAAGCCACAGACCGAGAGCAGAGCGGCCGCCGTGGAGAGCGCGGTCCCCTCAGAGAGGTGGGCCGGTGGAAATCGTGAAGCGAAGGTGCCATGGAAGTATGTCAAAGTAGTGTGGATATATTATGCACAACATACTTTTATATACAAGTATATATATATAAAGCATTTAATACTATACTTACTAAACATAGATATATAAATATAACTAAATATACCCTAGCTTTGAAAAACCATTAAAGGACTGGTCGACTTGGTGGTGTAGTGTAAGAATCCTTAGTAGACCAATGGTTCTTTGGTAAGGACTATTAAAACAAGGGTTGTTCGAATCCCAGGGTGTATAGAAGTCCAAAGAGTAAGAACGGAACCCTGGTTCCTCATACAGTGGTAGCTGGGATCCACTGGGATGTACTTCGACTTAGATCTATACTAGATCTATATTGTATATATGTGTATATATGCTTTGCTTAGTGATCAGATGTAGCACCAGTTACATGTACATGACACAGCTTGTATAGATGTATGTTTCACTGCAGCCGTTTGTTCAAGTTTGTGGTTTACTTTTGTGTTCATTTCGATACCAGAGCTTACGCGTGTTTGAGCTAAAAGTGTGCCTAAGCTTCAGCTACAACCTTTGGGACTGTGACCCTCAGTCACTGAGTTTAAGAGCCTAAATTCTCCGTTCATGGTAGCGGAGCCGCGGTTCTAAGACCCGGCTACCGTCTGCGAATCGAAGGTTGCCGAGCCGCATCGGCTCTGGCACCGGAGATCTACAAAACAAGCACCACTTGCAGGAAAGCCGGATTGCTTCAATCCCTGGCTAGCAAGTCAACATGGCGCAACAGCCAGGAGCACAGGCACCACAAGCCACAGACATGGCACAACAATTTGCACAGATGATGCAAGCCCTAGCACAGGGGCAGAACCAATTGCAACGAGCAATGGCAGAAGCATATACACAACAAACGGCAATCACAAGGAACATAGCCACCAGCGTAGAAGTAAGAGACAGATCAGAATTGAAAGGCATTCCAAAGCCTGACAAGTTCAGTGGACATACAGGTACCTGGGACTCATGGTACTTCAAGTTCAAGACTTGGATTGAGACAAGTCACAAGAATGCAGGAAAGTGCATTCAGCTCCTCGAAGAGCATCAAGATACAGAGATCAATGAGACATCTCTGGAAGATGATTATCCTGAAGGAGCCGAGCTTGTTTCAGCTCAGGCCCGACAGGCTCTGATCTCACTATGTGAGGGAGAAGCCCTCGAGATTGTCAAGAATACCTCCAGAGGTCAGCACTTTGGCCTAGAGGCTTTGAGACGATTGATCACTAAGTATGATCCACAGAACCCACAAGCAAACTCAGCTTTGCTGAAGAAGGTCCTGCACCCACAACAGTGTGCACTGGACAAGCTCAGAGAGAGCATAGAAGCCTGGGAAAACATCAGGCGAAAGTACGAAGAGCGAAAGAAGAAAGCTCTTGATGATGACATAGCAAGAAGTTGTCTTCAGCAGATGTGTCCAGCCAAACTTCAAGATCACCTTGACCTCCAGAGTTCAAGACTCACTGACTATGCCATCATGAAGTCAGAGATTTTGGCCTACCTCGAGAACATCGAGAGCCGAAAAGAAGCAAAGACTGGATCAGCACCAATGGATGTTGATGCACTAGCCGCAGCTGCCAGCCAGATGCAAGCTTCACTTGCAAGTCTGGCCAAAGCCAAAGGAAAAGGCAAAGGTGGCTCAAAAGGCGGCAGAGGAAAAGGAAAGAGTCAAGATGGAGGCAAGTTCTTCATGGTCCAATCCCTCGTCATGGAACAACTCATGGAACAAGAACGATTGGTATAAGAATGATTGGAACAAGAGTAGTTGGTACAACCAAAACTCCAAGGGTAAAGGCAAAGGTGGCAAAGGAAAGGACTCTAAAGGTAAAGGCAAGAGTAAGAGTAAGAAGGTAGCTTCAGTGGAGGAATCTGAAACCTCTATGGCTCAAGAGCATCAACCCGAGCCTGAGTATTCCGCTGACATCGCCACCCTCTTTGCCATCGAGATGGAGAAAGCAGCACCTGCCGCAATTTCTCGTGGAGCAGCCAAGGCAAAAGCTGAGACTGAAGTCAAGGCTATGCCAAAGAAGCCAGGAGCTGGAAAAGGTCGTCCTGGAATTGCAGCTGCTGGGATTGCAGTCATGAACCAAGCAATCCAAGAGACCATGCAGTCCAATCGCGAACTGTATGAGAAGAAGTCCGAGACGATCCAGAAAGCCATTGAAGAGGCCGAAGCCAAAGGCAAAGCAGCCAATGACGCCATCTTGGAACAGCAGGCCGAGATGAAGAGGCTGAAAGAACAGTATGAAGAAAAGGAGAGAGAAGCCAAGATCTTGCTGAAGAGACCAACTCCTCGCCGCGCCGCTTCGGTGCCGGCGGAGTCGCCAAGGCTCTCAGCTGATTTGGCATCAGGCATGGACCCAAGATTGGCCAAGAAGAAGGAGAAGAGCCGTCAGCGCGCCGAGCAACATCGCGTTGAGAAGGCCCAGGATCGTTTCGAATCCTGGCGCGACTATGAGGCCAATTACCCCGAGGAGCTCGACTACTATGAGATCGCTCGTGCCAAGGGTACTGGTCGACTTCAAGCTTGGGATGATGAAGATGATGAGGGAAAGTTTGATGAAGTCCCTCAGCCTCGAGGTCGGGAAAAGGCCCAGAGGCATCGTGGCTACAAGAAGCCAGGAAAGGCAAAGAAGCCTGAGAAGCCAAAAGAGAAGGAGCCCAAGATCGAGGATCTTTCCACTCAAGAGTTGGCAGAGATGAAGCGGGAAAGCCAGACATGGACGGCTACCAGCCATCCAGCCCGCAGTGTCATCGACAAAGCGCTTACTGCAGCTGGGTTCAACCCAGAGGACTACGTTGTGATGAAGCGCGTCGAAAGCCAAGGCGAAGGAGCAACAAGTGCACCATCCTTCGCAGCTCCAGTCATGGAGAACATCAATCCCCTTGATGTGACTGAGATCGAGGGACTCGAAGAAGAAGAAGAGTTTGAAGGTGAAGTTGAAGAGGATGAGAATGGCACTGAGCCAGCTGACGATGAGTCAGATGGACAAGAGGAAGAAAAAGAGAAAGACATTGTGCCATGGCTCGATCACATGTTCCAAGAGCGCATCCTCAGCTATGATGAATGGGTAGCCAAATGCACCCACAAGAACAGAGATGGCAGCAAGCACATGGTTTGCCGTGCGTGCAACAAGGCCCTGAGGTGTGACAATGACACCGGCCTATGGAACCATCATATGGCTTTGAATTGCTGCCCACCAAAAGTCCTCACCCAGTGGGCAAAGGAATGGACGATCAAGCAGAAAGAGATGGGAAAGCGCATCAAGACTGCCAAGGGACAGCAAGGCAGCCCAACTTCAAAAGATGCGCCAAAGCATGTGAAAGATGCCGACATGGATCTGAAGCCCGAAGATGTGGCAAAGCATTTGAAGATGAAAGATCCAAAGCTTGAGACCGTCAAGAACGAACCTCCTTTCTACATGACAGCCCATATGCAGAAGATGATGGAAGAACAGGTGGAGGAAGATGAGGTCGGCCCAAAGACGCCAAAGCAAAGGCGCATTGCCAAGACACCTCCACTTCCTGAGAAGAAGGGCAAGACCAAGGAGGAACGCATGGCCTGGTTCAAGAGCTCAAGAGCATATGGAGCGATTCCGTGGACCAGGATCCAAGCCAGAGGAATCCAGCGAAGCGCCAAGGCAGACGCTTCGGCTGAAGTCCCGGTCACGATCCCCGGGCAAAAGCCGAGCCGCTTCGGCTCCGGCTGCCTCCGAGAAGGGCCAAGGAAAGGGCAAGCAGAAGAAAGTGCAGTTGACTCGAGCTGTCAACGTGGCCACTCAGGATGCTGCCCGTGAGGCCAAGAAGGGAAAGGGAAAACGATATCCCACTCCCTCAAGTGAGCCTGATGAAGGCGATGAAGATCCACTCGCTCTCAGGAGTTTGGAGCTGGCATCCATGGAGACGCCAATGGCTCATCAGGTGACCTTGGATTCAGGAGCCGCGACCTCCTGCATCCCTGTTGAACTGGCCACCGCATTGGGCTACAAGCCTATCCAGCCTGAAGGCACCTGCAAAGTCTACAAGACTGCCTCAGGCGAAGTGGTCAAGGACCTTGGCAAGATCGATGCCATGGTGACCATCGGCATCGGCCAGAACTCCCTCAATGGACGTTGCTGTTTCCGGGTGATGGCGGTTGTAAAACCGCTGCTCTCCGCGGGGGCCCTTATGAGCAAGGGCTGGTCCATTCAGATGCACGGATCTGGTGGACATATCTCCCGAGACGGGACTAAGATCCCGATCTCGTTCAGCAACGGCGTCTGTCCTGTGCCGATTGCATTCCACCCTTTCGTCCGGCACCGCAATGGGTAAGTCCGGTAGTGGACGAACAGGCCGAAGAGGCCGAGCCAGGCGACGAAGTTCCGCCTGAGCTCAAAATCAATGCTCCCATTCGCCCGACGCGAAAAGAGTTTGAAGAGCATGCTGTTTCACACTTTCCTTTTAGGTCTTGGTGTGAGGCCTGTGTAAGGGGAAAAGCTAAGGCAAACCCCCACAGGAAGATAGACCACACCGATGAGACAACCCCAGTAGTAAGTGTAGACTACTGTTTCATGAACTCGCGGACTGATGACGTAGTTTTGGACGAGAAGACTCATGCACCAATTCTTGTTGTCAGAGATCGATGGACGAAGCATCTTTTTGCTCATGTGTTGCCCTACAAAGGTGTGACAAAAGGTCCATATGGATCCAAAGTACTTTTGAACGACATCAAGAAACTAGGATACTCCAAACTGATCATTCGACATGATCCTGAACCTGCTCTCACATCCGTTGTTGAGGCAGTAAAAAATGGGTTTGAAGGAACCCTGATCATCGAGAAGAGCCCGAAAGGAGTCAAAGAATCCAAGGGAGAGATTGAACGAGCAGTTCAAACCTTGGAAGGACAAGCCAGGACTCTTCGAGCCGCAATCGAGTCGAACTATGGTGAGAAACTTCCTGACGATTCACCTGTTTTGACTTGGTTGGTCGAACACGCATCCACTGTCTATAACTTGTTTTTCCGATCCACCGAACTTCAAGACGGAAAGACTCCGTATTCACGACTTCGTGGACGTGAATGGAAAGTAGCAATTCCACCATTTGGTGAGGCCATCGAATACCTCAAGAGAGGTCACAAGTTCGAGGCCCAATGGACCAAAGGAATTTTCCTAGGAGTGAAAGACACCACCACAGAGAAGATAGGAAATTCCACAGGCGTTTTCACAGTGCAATCCATCCGAAGAAAGCCAGAAGAAGATCGATATGATTCAGAGTTGCTGAAATCGATCACTGGGATTCCCTGGGATCCTCAAGCAATTCGCGAAGAACCAGCGATTGCAGCCCCAAGGGAGCCAATCATTGCCAGCCCAAGTGGTGAAGCTTTAGTTCAACCACCGGCAATCGATGACAAGAAAAGAAAGCTGAGAAGACTTTACATTACCAAGAAAGACCTGGAAAAGTTTGGGTACACTGCAGGTTGCCCAGCTTGTGATGCCACACAGATTGGCAAGAGATCTACAGGCATCCATCACACCAACAGGTGTCGAGACAGACTTGAAGAGAGCATCAGAGGAGAAGAAGAAGAGAACCCAAGAGTAGCAAGACATGAAAGCCGAGTTGGAGAGGCAATCACTGGCATGCCACAACCAGTCAGTGGTAAGAGACCTCAAATCCTTCATGGATATGAAAGCAAAAGACCATCGGGAGTTCCCGATTCGTGTCGAGTGTTCGCACGACTTGACGTCGAAGCTTACTGTTTTCAAACCACCATGCCAGGAGGACCTGATTGGTCTACCGTCTGGCGCCGAGTCACAAGAAACCATGCAAACAATGCAATCATCGAGAGTGGAGTCATGACAACAGACCTTCCACCAGAGATACTCAATGGAGCATTACCACACAAGATGGACATTGTGACAGAACTTTGGTACGAACCAGAACCAGCACCACCAACACCAGGCACAGCATCAGCTTCAGCATCAGGTATTCGCAGACCACGCGAACCTGAACCACATGGAGAAAAGAGAGAGCACGAAGAACAGCATGAACCAGCAGGATCACCCATAGCAAAAGCCAGAGTAGATAGAGACAAGAAGAGAAAAGCAGAAGGCGAACATGAAGATGAAGCCGAGAGAACAAGAGACATCCAGAGCATTGAGATGGCTCTAGAAAGCCTAATCCTAGAAGACAGAGAGAGAGTGCTATCTAGCATCGACCCAGAGAAACCAGTGTGTGAAGAGAAGATCCCACTGCCAGAACAAATGGCAGAAGAGGCAAAAGACTGGTGGTACTACGATGACATCAGTGGAAAAGAGCTTCTACCTGAGAAGGTAGAGAAAGCCAGAAAAGACGAAATCGACATTGTCGAATCAATGGGAGTCTGGGAGAAGATCCCAAGAAGCAAAGTTCCAAAAGGAACCAAAATCATTGGAACTCGATGGGTAGATGTGAACAAGCAAGATGAAACCAATCCTCTCTACAGAAGTCGATTGGTAGCACAAGAAATCAAAAGAGGCTCAGGTTTTGGCAAATTTTTCGCAGCCATGCCGAGCCTAGCAGCTTTGAAGCTACTGCTAACCATTGCAGTCAGCGACAGCCTTCCATTGGAGAAAGGCGAAAGAAGAAAAGCAAAACAATCATTCCTAGGATTTTTGGATGTGAAGAGAGCTCATTTCTACTCCAAAGCAACAAGAGAACTCTATGTTGAAATTCCATCAGAAGGCAAGAAACCAGAAGATGGAGATGTGGTAGGAAGATTGGTCAGAAGCCTTTACGGCACCAGAGACGCACCCATGAATTGGGAGCTGACCATTGCAGAGTTTATGAAGAAGCTAGGATTTGTTCAAGGCAAGTCCAACCCATGCATCTACTACCATGCATCCAGAGAACTTCGAACAGAGGTGCATGGAGACGATTTCACGACAGTTGGAAGTTTTGATGACATCAAATGGTTTCACACTTCAGCAGCCAAAGAATGGCAAGTTGTGGAACGAGGCATTCTTGGTCCACCAGGTTCACCAAAGGCAAGCCAACAGATCAGAGTGCTGAATCGCATCATCACCTGGTCAAATGAAGGCATTTGGTGGGAGCCAGATCCAAGACATGCAGAGTTGATCATCAAGTGGTTAGGCACTGGTCAACCAGGCAAGGTCAAAACACCTTTGGCCAAGCCAAGTCAAGAGGAACTCCAACACGAAGAAGTTCCGCTGAGTGCCGAAGATGCAACGATGTATAGATCTATTGCTATGAGAGCCGCGTATTTGGCACAGGATCGACCTGATCTGCAAACTGCAACGCGCTCATTGGCACAAGGTCTACAGAATCCAACATCGAGGCACTGGAATATGCTGAAACGATTGGCTCGATATGTCAGGTATCGACCAAGAGTTGCACAGTTGTTTCCAAACCAAAGCACCTGCAACCCCTTCAACATGTGGTCAGACGCCGACCATGCAGGTTGCATAAGGACACGAAAGAGTGTGTCAGGAGGCGTGCTCATGGCCAACAAATGCTGTCTCACTACGTACAGCAAAGGCCAAGGAGTTGTCTCCCTGAGCAGTGGCGAATCCGAGTATTACGGACTTGTTTCGGGAGCATGTCAAATGCTTGGAATCGCATCAACTGCAAGAGACTGGGGATTGTTTCCCAGCAAAGAGGTGACAATGGACGCTTCCGCTGGCATCGCCATGGGAAACCGTCGAGGCTTGGGACGAGCTAAGCATGTTGACACTCAGTACCACTGGGTACAAGAGCGTACAGCAAAGAAAGAGTTTCGTCTCAAGAAGGAAGGCACCGACCGAATGTTGGCCGACGTGCTAACGAAAGCTGTCACTGAAGAGAAAATGACTACAGCCATGAAAGGCATGAACTTCCACTACCTGGAAGGTGAACATGAACTGACCCTGAAAGCGTGAACGGCTTGAGCTAGAGTAGGTACTTCTTCAAGACCAAGATGTACTGAAGGGCTACGAGCTAATTAAGTGCTAACCCTGACTCGCTTAACTTCTGGGAGATGTTAAACTCGGGAGGCGTGATCAGATGTAGCACCAGTTACATGTACATGACACAGCTTGTATAGATGTATGTTTCACTGCAGCCGCTTGTTCAAGTTTGTGGTTTACTTTTGTGTTCATTTCGATACCAGAGCTTACGCGTGTTTGAGCTAAAAGTGTGCCTAAGCTTCAGCTACAACCTTTGGGACTGTGACCCTAAGTCACTGAGTTTAAGAGCCTAAATTCTCCGTTCACTTAGAGTCGTTGCTTTTGGAACATGAGCTTCTCCTTCACCTTCCGGACGTGTTGTGCCACCCCGTGCCTCCGAACCTTCCGGGTGCCTCCGCCCGCGTCGTGGCCGGCCCAGGCCCACCTTGACCTTTGCGGAGATGATTCCCAACTGCCCACCCGTGCTGAACGACCTCTTGGAGCTCTGCTTTCAGGTATGCTTGGTGGTGTCAGGTATGCTTCGAGCTGTTCAATGGTCGATGGACCTGTGCGTTTCCTTCAAATGAGTTCAACAGAAACACCTGCAATAATCTCTAAAACTCTCAACATCAGCTGGGGCCCAGTTGGCTAGACCTGTATTGGACCGTATTGGGCCCATCAATGAGCAGATGATGTGATAGACCAGACAGAATTGGGGTCTCTCTCACACGGTCCTCTCTGGGAATCCACCATCACTTGATTCTGCCCTCCCGTGAGACAAGACATCATCCCACGACGGGGTGAGCTCTCGGTTCCGTGGATGGTGATCGATGAATACACCATGAATAGGAGCCCGGCCAGGAAGGTCAACCTGTCGGTCTCCTAGCTGTGACCCACGGCATCCAAAAACCTTCAATCCTCCCCACATTCCATTGGACATAGATCCCTCTGAGAGTCAGTTGGAAACATGATCTGACAAGACTTAATTTACCTGAGAACTTCATTGGACTTCTGTATGACTGCATCAGGGCAAAACATATAAGGTTGGAGGCCATCGCTTCTAGGTTGGAGGCCATCGCTTCTAGGTTAGAAGATGTTGGAAGCTATTCTTTTCGACCTCTCCGCTTTCGATGTCTTTTTCACGTCTGCCGCACCTCCAGTGGAATCCCATGAAGCGGCTGACGGCCTTGGAGGTGTGGTCGGGGTGACCCCACGAGCGAACCCGAAGCCCCGAAGAAGGGGTGTTTGGAAGCTCAACTAGGGAGAACATGGGAGACATTCAAGGACCTCGGAGGAAATCAAAGACTTAGCTGAGCTGTGCAACGTTAAAACATGGTTTTGCAAGGGTTGTTGTGATGGAAACGTTACGGTCCAGTAGGTCTCAGGAAGTCGAACCATGATTTTTTGTGAAACGATGTTGCATCTCAAACAATGTCAACTTCAACTTCAACCACACTTCTGCGAGTGGGCCATATATATGAGCCATACGACCACCCACAGCATGTCAAAAATCAGCGATGGCTTGAATGGTAGGCCCCAATTCCTCGGACTGAGGACGCCATCGTAGCACGTTCACCTGATAAACCTCCTTTGCCGTGCCCCAAAACCCCGATCGCCGGCCGAGCAGTGCCGAGCAGTTCCACGGTCGTTGACCGGTGTGAGTCAGGCGTTGGTGGTGCGTTTGGTTGGGGGGTTGGTCCTGAAGCTGCTGGTGGTGTCGCAAAGAATGAGATGACAAGATATGTCGTACAAAAGTCCTTTCCAAAAAGGGATACTCTCTTGTAAGCTCCATACATATACAGTTGCAAGGATCAATCATGTGTTTGTTCATGTCTTTGTTTCTCTTGACAACTTTAAGTGTTCAGGTCTTTCCGATTGTGATCTTTTGTCACAAGTGCACATTGTCAAGCATGTAGATTCTGCAGCAGGGCATGCATCACAGTAAGGTGGTTCCTCCTCCACTGAGCAGTGATGAGATTGTTTGAGGTCTGCTCATGATGCCGCCGTGGGAATATGTCCTGATGTAAGCCGAGGTTGTCTGATCATGGTACCATGCGTGGTCAAATTCGTGTAGGAGGGCTTGACATGCCTAGGATAAGGAAAGACGCAATGTGACGCAATTGTGCTACTCCTTCCACTGAAGAGTGATGAGATTGATTGCGACGGGCTGTCTGA